AAACGGCTTTCAAAACTAAGTTCGGTTTGTATGAGTGATTAGTAATGCCTTTGGGTTAACTAATGCACCTAGTACTTTCATGAGATTAATGAATGAGGTTTTATGTAGCTTTCATTGGGAAATTTGTTGTCGCTCTACTTTGATGATATATTGATTTACAAAAATCCATGGATGAACACCTTGATCACTTGCGTGCTGTTTTTTAATGCTCTACGTGATGCACGCTTATTTGGTAACCTTGAGAAGTGCACTTTTTGCATCGATCGAGTAGCGCTTTCTTGGCTATGTTGTTACTCCACAGGAATTGAGGTTGATAAATCCAAGATTGAAGCTATACAAGGATGGCTGTACCCACGCACGATCACACAAGTGCGGAGTTTCCTAGACTTGGCTGGTTTCTATCGCCAATTTGTGAAAGATTTCAGCACCATTGCTGCACTGCTACATGAACTTACAAAGAAGGAGTGCCCTTTTCTTGGGGCAAAGCACAAGAGCATTCTTTCCACATGCTAAAAGATAAGTTAACACATGCACCACCTCCGCTCCAACTTCCGATTTTAATAAGACTTTGAACTTGAATGTAATGCTAGTGGAATTGTAATGGTGGTGTTTTATTGCAAGAAGAAAACCCGTTGCATATTTTAGTGAGAAACTAAGTGGACCTATGCTGAATTATTCTACTTATGACAAAGAATTGTATGCACTTGTGCGTAACGCTGGAAACATGGCAAAGCATTATTTGTGGCCTAAAGAATTTGTTATACATTCTCGATCATGAATCGTTGAAGCATATTCGTAGTCAAGGAAAACCTGAATCGTAGACATGCTAAGTGGGTTGAATTTATTGAATCTTTCCCTTATGTAATTAAACACAAGAAAGGAAAAGAGAATGTCATTCATTGATGCTTTGTCTAGGAGATATACTTTGTTGACACAACTTGACTATAAGATCTTTGGTTTGGAAACAATTAAAGAACAATATGTGCATGATGATGATTTTAAGGATGTCTTACCGCAATGTAAAGATGGAAAAGCGTGGAATAAATTTGTTGTGAATGATGGCTTTGTGTTTAGAGCTAACAAGTTTATGCATTCCAAGCTAGCTCCATTCGTTTGTTGTTGTTACAGGAAGCGCGGAGGTGGTTTGATGGGACATTTTGGAGCAAAGAAGACAGAGGACATCCTTTGCCGATAATTTCTTTTGGCCAAAGATGAGAGATGTGGAGAGATTTGTCTCTCGGCCGCATTTACATGTCAAAAGGCTAAGTCACGCTTAAATACACATGGTTTGTATATGCCTCTACCTGCTCCTAATGCTCCTTGGGAAGATATTTCTATGGATTTTGTGTTGGGATTACCAAGGACTAGGAAGGGCAAAGCAGTGTTTTTGTGGTTGTGGATAGATTTTTGAAAATGGCACACTTTATACCTTGTCATAAAACCGATGATGCCACACATATTGTCGATTTGTTCTTTCAATGGTTATTCGCTTGCATGGTGTGCCAAACACAATTGTTTCGATCGAGATGTTAAATTTTTAGTCATTTTGAATAACTTTATGGGCTAAATTAGACTAAACTTTTATTTTCTACCACTTGTCATCCCTAAACTGATGGTAAAACCGAAGTTGTGAATAGAACTTTATCAACTATGTTAAGGGCTGTTTTAAAGAAAAATATTAAGATGTGGGAAGATTGTTTGCCTCATATTGAGTTTGCTTATAATCATTCAATGCATTCTACAACAAAGATGTGTCCATTTGAGATTGTTTATGGCTTGTTACCACGTGCTCCTATTGATTTAATGCCTTTGCCAACTTCGTAAAAAAATTAAATTTTGATGCTAAACAACGAGCTGAATTAATGTTGAAACTACATGAAACAACTAAACAAAACATAGAGCTTATGAATGCTAAATATAAGTTTGTGGTGATAAAGGTCTAAAAGCAATAAATTTTGAACCTGGAGATTTGGTTTGGTTGCATTTGAGAAAGGAGAGGTTTCCTGCATTGAGAAAGTCTAAATTGATGCCTAGAGCTAATGGACCATTTAGGGTATTACAAACGGATTAATGAGAATGCATATAAACTTGATCTTCCAGCAGATTTTGGGGTTAGTCCCACATTTAACATTGCAGATTTAAAGCCATATTTGGGTGAGGAAGATGAGCTTGAGTCGAGGACGACTCAAATGCAAGAAGGGAGGATGATGAGGACATCAACACCGACGACGATCCGCTACCGACACCAAAGATTTCTATCGTCGGGTCCTCTTACTCGTGCTCGTGCTCGTAAAATTAATTATCAAGTGAGTTGCCTCTGAGCTCCTGTCCATCTTATTTAGATCTTGGAAACATGTGCACTCTTGTTTTGATTAGGAACCAAGGAGAAGACCGAAGGGAGAAGGATTCGCGATGGTCGGATTCAGACCGCAGTAAAGGCACCAACTTGTGACCATCACCACGGTTGCATACTTGAGTCGGATTCGGGCGCTTTAGGACTTGTTGGAAAGCTTATCAAGTTCACTTTCATATGGAACCAGTTCCATGTCCATATCTGTTCGGCAGCATCGGTAATTATTCAATTTCCGTCGAGAGGTCTTTATGTCCGTGGTGCCGTGGTCACCTTATTTTAGTCCGATGGGTCGTATCGCCTTAGGGTCCATTAGGGACGTGTCTTAGGGTTGGAGTACGACCCAAACACCTTGTTGGTCGTCCACCCCATGTTATATACTCTTTGGCCGCCGCCAAGACACTCGGGTTTTGTTTAGATCAAGTTTAGTTTTGCTACTTGCTTGTAGGCGAAGCGCTTGATCCAAATTGCGCCTCTCCTTGTCTTCTAACCCCACTCATAATAAGATTCAGTTTGAGGTTTTCAATTTCATCTTGCAAATTCAAAGGCTTGTTTCCTTGTTCTTGCTAGTTCTTCGATTGCTTGGCAGGACGGGAGCCCTAGTGGATCGGTTGTCGCGCTTCCACAAAATCGTGGACGCCTTTTGAGGTGGTGTATCGGTTGCTAAGGCGCTAGCCTTGGAAGGTCAGAGTCAGCCGTGAACGCCATCTCCATCCACCAAATCGAGTTATCTCACGCCTCTCATCGAAAAATCGTCCCACAAACCCTAACGGGGTTCTTATCAATACGCCTAACCATTATGAAAGTACGCACGCAAATCCTTCTATGAGCATTTTCAAGATCAGTGCCGACAAATACCGACGAAGTCACCACAAGCGCCATTGTCGATGGGAACATCGCTCACCACTTAAAAGCACAACGACGTAAAATTCTGGAATATTCGCTCCAATGGAGGGTCAGACCCAGGACCTTATATGCTACTGAGGCTCTTGTAACCACTAGGCTACACATCATTTCGCGACGTCTGCCAAGTTGAGAGTTGGCAAAAAAAGTCTTTTACGATTCTTTTTCTCCCTCTTTCCTTTTCCTTTTTTTTTTTTTTTTCTGATGCAAATGCCCTATTGAATGTGGGCCGTCCTTAAGCTAAAGTCCAAACCACGAATCCCGAATACCATCTCAGCCCAATTTCGCCCATGGTACCACATTTTCCTCCTGCGCGGGAAGCCGTTACCTGTTGGCGCCAAAGTTTCCCGCCACTCCCGCCTGCCCGCGCCGCCGCTCCCTCTCATAATACCACCACGCCACCCGAAGTCCATTCCCTCTCCTTCCCGCCGCTCCCTAAACCCCAGCCGCGCCCATTGCCGCCGCTCGCCTCAGCCTCCTCTGCCCAGTGCCTTCTTGTTCGCCGGCGGAATGGTAAGCGCACGGCCCCTCTGCCTCGTCCTCCTCCTGCGCTTGCGGCGCCGCAAGATCTGATCTCTTCTTGCTGCGGTTGCGTGGCGCTCTCGTCGTGCAGGATGACTCGGAGAACAACGCGCCCTCGACGCCGGGGTCCCCGGGTTCAGCACCGACCGTTTGCCGCCCAACACCACCAGCCGCGGCGCCACCGACCCGTCCTCCTACTCCGACGACGATGGCGAGGCGGAGGTCGACCTCACGTGCTCCCCTGATGACGACGACCCTGCCGCCGCAGTGGCCCCTGACGAGGACGAGGAGGGGAGGACCTCTTCAACGACAACTACCTCGAGTAAGCCAACTCGAATCTGACCCGGGGCTGAGATTTCCGGGATCTGCTGTTTGTTTTGGGGCGCCTGGGTAATTGGGACCAGGGGATCTGGTAGATGGCGTGGGTTGATTGGCAGATGCGAATAATGCGATGGTTTTTTGGCCTGTGGTTTGGTCAGATATCTGCGGTTCTAGGATTTGTTGTCGTTATTTACCTCATAATGTAGGCAAATTGTCATTTAGAGAAGAAGAAATGGTCAATTTTTGTTGAAAAGATAACGAATTACATTATCCGAAACGTCATATGTTTGTAAGGAGGGAGTACATAAATTGGGGAAAAATTTGTAGTTGAGTAGATAATTGTAGTACTAGAGTAACTAACTGATAGGCTTAACTAATATTTGTTGGATTGATGGAAATGAACTTAAATCTTCTATGTTTTATCGAAAACAACCGTTGGTCTGACGGAAATACACTTAATCCGTCTCGAAATTTGCTAAATTGAAGTGCTTTGCGTGACTCTCTATGCCCATAGGGGCAGAAGCCCAGGCTCACCAGCTTTGATGAGAGATTTGTTAAGTGGCTCTGCTGACTTGATGCGAATTTGTGTTAAGTTACACATTGTAATCAAACTAAAGTTACTGTATGTATCCTAAATTGGGAATTTGGACTTGCACAGTTTGCTGCGAGGGTCACTTCTGGTTTTTTAAAATGGCTTATAACGAAGGCATGCATTTTTTACATGATCGCAATGAATAATCCAATCTCCCTTGCCAACACAAACCATTCTATATATCTGCTGACTGTCAGTTTTGAAATTTTTGTTTCCATATTCAGTCTTTTTTCCTTTTTCCTGATTGCAGTGATTACCGAAGGATGGATGAGCATGATCAGTATGAGTCAGTTGGTTTAGACGATTCACTCGATGATGAGAGGAATCTTGATGAAATCATGGCTGATCGAAGGGCTGGAAGCGGAGCTTGATGCAAGGGATGTGAGGACTGGTGCAGCAGTTGAAAGGAAGTTGCCACGGATGCTCCACGATCAGGGTAATGACTTCAAGACGAATTTTGGTTTCTGTAGGATATTAGAGCAAATATGGTATTTGTATTTTAAATATATGCTCTTGATTAAATCACCAAATGAGTATTTAGTATATGAACTTATGTTGCATCTTTGGGCTCTCGTTCATTTGCATCTGCTTCTTTTGTGATTGGTTTGAAGTTTGACTGGCCACATCCTCATTTGGTGATTTCAGTGTGGTTAATGCTTTCTGAAAAAAAAAACTCATTTTGGAAGATTTGCATATTATACTGAATATTGAGTTGGACTATCTCCATTTCTCCATTTATCAACTGTCGTAACAGAAAATGAATTTTAATTTTTCTTCCTCATGTAGGAAGGAGAGCTGTGTCATTTATATCTGAATTGCAAATGAATTTGTTGCTTAGGAAGTTATTAGTGTTTGTTTGAGTTCATATCCATATAGTAAGCATACAATAGATATTAGCAATCAATCTTGGCTCCGCAGCAGTACTGATTATGCCTGGATTTTTTTTTTTTGAGAACTGATGGTTATAGATTCTTGTAAAAAGGGTAACATGATTGCCTTAGGTGTAAACTTTTGTAACATATATTAGAAGTCCAAGATTTAGATGTTAGTGACTGAATTCAAAGCTCTTTTCTTCCATGGTGCAGATACAGATGAGGATATGAATTTCAGGCGTCCTAAAAGGCACAGGGCTAGTTTTAGACCACCAAGTGGACCAAGAACACCAAGAAGTGATGATGATGGTGATGGTGCCACTCCAAGTTCACCTGGAAGATCTCAGCGTGGAATGTACTCCGTGGTGATGTGCCTATGACTGATCAGACTGATGATGACCCATATGAGGTATTGTCATATCGATTTAAACTAGGTTATGCTTTTATTTCAGGACTTGAATTGGTTCTGTAACTACCAATTAAATAGTAAGCCTCATTTTTGCAGCTCTAAATGTTTGTCTATCCTTGAATTGACAATATTTTTTCGGCAGGATGAATTTGATGAAGAAGATGAGATGAACATGTACCGTGTCCAAGGTACATTGAGAGAGTGGGTCACAAGAGATGAAGTCCGGCACGCTTTATTGCAAAGAAATTCAAGGAGTTCCTTCTTACATATGTTAACCCAAAGAACGATCAAGGAGAGATTGAGTATGTTCGGCTTATTAACGAGATGGTTTTAGGTATCATCTGCTTCACATTCTCTGGTTGACATGAAAAAAATGCAACAAGTTTTAGCTGCTACTACAAAGTCTTTGCTTCTCTGACCCTTATCTATTTCTTCTGCAGCTAACAAGTGTAGCCTGGAAATAGACTACAAACAGTTTATTTATATACATCCAAACATTGCCATCTGGTTGGCGGATGCACCTCAATCAGTGCTTGAAGTTATGGAGGAAGTTGCCAAAAATGTTGTTTTTGATCTCCACAAGAATTATAGGAACATCCACCAAAAGATCTATGTCCGAATAACGAACCTTCCTGTCTATGATCAAATACGCAATATCAGGTAAATAACACAGTTTCCTTCGTATCTTTTAGCTTCATGATCAATTTGATTTGGTCTAATGTCCTACACGCCTTTGTTCAGGCAAATCCATCTGAACACAATGATTCGAATTGGTGGTGTTGTTACTCGACGATCTGGTGTATTCCCTCAGTTGCAGCAGGTGAAGTATGACTGTAGCAAATGTGGAACTATCCTGGGCCCTTTCTTCCAGAACTCCTACACTGAGGTGAAAGTCGGATCATGCCCTGAATGCCAATCCAAAGGGCCATTCACAGTCAATGTTGAGCAGGCATGTTACCGTAAACATGTTTTCACAGTTCTGTCTTATTGCTATGTGATATTGATATAGTTTTTCTATGTGGACTATATTGTTAATCCTAGTAAAACTATTTTTTTTCAGTCTTAATACTTGCTTATTCTCCATGCAGACTATATATAGGAACTACCAGAAACTCACTCTTCAGGAAAGCCCAGGAATTGTTCCTGCTGGGCGGCTTCCCAGATACAAGGAAGTAATACTTCTGAATGATCTGATTGACTGTGCTCGTCCAGGAGAGGAGATTGTAATTTTTCTCCACCTACCATTTGTTTTTCAATTCATATTACTTTTGAAATCAGACTGACATTCCGTGCTTGCTGTCTCCAGGAGGTCACTGGGATATACACAAATAATTTTGACTTGTCTTTGAATACAAAGAATGGTTTCCCTGTTTTCGCCACAGTGGTTGAGGCAAACTATGTGGCAAAAAAGCAGGATCTGTTTTCTGCATACAAATTAACTGACGAGGATAAGGCAGAGATTGAGAAGCTGTCGAAGGATCCAAGGATTGGAGAAAGGGTTTGTTGCTCAACTCTTTAATCTCTTGATGAAAATGTGTTATGCTAATATACATTAACTCACTTATGCACCTAACTCACCAGATTGTCAAGTCAATTGCACCATCCATTTACGGCCATGAAGATATCAAGACTGCCATTGCACTCGCTATGTTTGGTGGACAAGAGAAGAATGTGAAGGGAAAACATCGCCTAAGAGGCGATATCAATGTCCTCCTCCTGGGTGATCCAGGCACTGCAAAATCACAGTTTCTCAAGTAAGGACAGTCAATCATTTTTCAGCAGTTCCTTGAGGATGTGCCATTAACTCGCCATTTTGCAGGTATGTGGAGAAAACAGGACACAGAGCAGTATATACAACTGGAAAAGGAGCCTCTGCTGTTGGTCTTACTGCTGCGGTTCACAAGGATCCAGTAACACGAGAATGGACACTTGAGGGAGGTGCACTAGTTCTTGCTGATAGGGGCATTTGCCTCATTGACGAGTTTGACAAGATGAATGATCAAGATAGGTATGATATAACATTTGCATTTGGATGTCCTGTACTATTTAAATTTCTGTATTACTAAAAATGTAATTCTCTTCTGATTGTTTCAGGGTAAGTATTCATGAAGCTATGGAGCAACAAAGTATCAGTATATCAAAAGCAGGAATCGTCACATCTCTTCAAGCTAGATGCAGTGTTATTGCTGCAGCAAACCCAGTAGGTGGAAGGTAACTTAAGTTCCATGCATGCCATGTAATACCAGTGATAGTATTAAGAAAGATACTGAATGCAATCATCGGTTATTTCACAGGTATGATTCATCAAAGACATTCACTCAGAATGTTGAATTGACAGATCCCATTATTGCACGTTTTGACGTCCTCTGCGTGGTTAAGGTTTGGAGCTGTTATTCATGTCTGATGTATTTGTTCCATGATCAGTTGTCAATCACTACTGATATTTAATTTTTAAAATGCAGGATATTGTTGATCCATTTACAGATGAAATGCTTGCAAGGTTTGTTGTAGACAGTCACGCCAGATCCCAACCCAAGGGGGCTAACCTTGAAGACAGGGTTTCAACCGATGTGGATGATGATCCACTGGCCGCTGCAAGACAAGCTGACCCAGATGTATGTATCCTATAGCTATTTCAACTGAAAGAACCTCTGACTCTGTTTTGTGGTTCTAACTGAATGTTATATTGTCAGGTCCTTTCCCAAGACATGCTGAAGAAATACATAACTTATGCTAAGCTGAATGTATTTCCCAAAATACATGATGCCGATCTAGATAAGATTAGCCATGTTTATGCTGAACTCCGTCGTGAATCATCTGTATGATATCCTTCCTTAGCCTTGTCTAGGGTTTTGTGTGAACTAAATTTCTGAAGTGGCACCTTTGAAAACAATGAAGTACTAAGTAGTTTCCAACTAACTTTGTAGCATGGCCAAGGGGTTCCTATTGCAGTAAGGCATATAGAATCAATCATCCGAATGTCGGAGGCACATGCAAGGATGCATCTGAGGAGCTACGTGTCTCAGGAAGATGTTGACATGGCCATCCGTGTCTTGCTTGACTCTTTTATTTCAACTCAGAAATTCGGTGTGCAGAAAGCACTTCAAAAGGTAAATTTTGTTGGTATTGAACTGTTATATGTCCATTACATCATCCGATGCTACAGACCGTAAATGCATTTGATAATCAATTTTATGTTAAATTGCTCATCTATTTAACAGAAATGATTTACCAAACGGTGTCAGTTTTGTCAGTAAATTTATAAGTCTTGTTGCAGATTAAGCTAATAGCATGAGTTGAATCTTGTTGCCCTTTTGTACTGATCAGTCTGGGTCTGGGTGGTCCTTAAACTACTGAATGTCTTGCAAACATCAACTAAATTTCTGCTGTCCACAGAATTTCCGGAAATACATGACATTCAAGAAGGATTACAACGAGCTGCTTCTGCTCCTTCTGCGGACACTGGTCAAGGATGCCCTGCACTTTGAAGAGATCATGTCAGGATCAACCTCGCACCTTACTCATGTGGAGGTCAAAGTGGAGGACCTGAGAAACAAGGTAAGCCTTCATGAGTGCTTCCACACAACCGAGCTGAGTGACCACTTTAACATCTGGATTCTGACTTGCCACACCTGTTGACCCAGGCCCAAGAATACGAGATCTACGATCTGAAACCGTTCTTCTCCAGCGCACACTTCAGGGACAACAGCTTCGTTCTGGATGAAGGGCGTGGGATCATCAGGCATCCACTGGCGGAGTAACAACTGACTTGACTCCTGTCTAGAACGGTAGAACCGGCCTTTGTCGTTACGGCCCTGGGATGAAGTGAACAGCCACAGTGGCCTCCTGGATGAAGAGCGATGATCAGATTCAGATCTGACCTCATTTCTTTTAAGCATACAAATGACACTGGGACAATCGCCTTTTCAGGACTGATTTAGTATCTGTTGTATAATTGTGTTATTATATTCAAGAGCTTCATATTTAAACGTCTATGCGCTTCGCTGCCATTTAGTCGTAACTGTACGGTGACTCAAATCATTTGTTAGATAAATGATGGGTATGATTGCAGGCGATAAAAAACTAGGAAAAGAAAATAAATAAATAAATTACAGCCAAATAACTATATACACCAACAGACATTTAATTTCTAGACTGGTGGCAGTTTCATATATTTTGATTTAAAATGGGTTAAGTATGATTTTTTAGAAATTAAACAAGATCTAGTACGATGAGTAGTGCCTAGATGGGAGCCAGTGGCAGCTTGGAGGCGGGGAACTTGCTGCGTTCCTAGCTCTTGTGAATTGTGATGCTCGGTTCCATAGTCCTTTTGGAGGCACGTCTTTGTAACAAACTGTGCTCCCCTTAGGCCGGAGGGCTTCAACTCACAAGTGAAGGTTTTTTTTTTTTTTTTTTTTTTTTTTTTTTTGGCTTCAGTTCCATTTAACGGCTCTCTCGGTGGAGGTAGAGCCATTTTGGTACCCCTTTAGTAAAACGGCTTTACATGAGGGGGAAAGATGAAAAGACTATATTGCGCTTCACTTTCTATCATTTTTTTCGTTTATCACGCTGCATCTTCTTTCCTCGCCTCTCCCCGTGGCTTCGATCGGCGGTTTGCGCCCTGCACCGGCGGTCCATGCCCCTCCCTAGGCCACCACGCACCCTCTCCCGTGGTCAAGACGACCGCCTGCCGGTGGCCGCCGCGCCCTCCCCGCCACCTTCCCCGACGACCGACACACTCCCTCTACCGGCGACGGCCGGACCCCCTCGTCCGACGGCCGCCGCGCCCCTCCCTTGGGCAGCAACGCGGTTTCCGGCGTGCCACGTGCATCCTCGGCAACCATGCCCCTCACATGCGGTGGTGGTCACAGATGTCAGGCCATGAGCCTTGGCTACCCATGCGCGCCACGAGGGTAAAACAGTTTCTCTCCTCCGGGTACACGTGGGACGAGGTGAAGCGGTGAAGCCACTACTTTTGGCTCCGCACCTCTCAAACCTCTGTGAGAGCAGGTTTTCGTGGCTTCACCAAGAGAGCTGTTTCATTTTATCCCGTTTGCTTGGAAAATGGCTCCAAACGGCTCTGAAGCCGGTGGAGAAGCCTTGCCAAATGGAGTCTTATAATAAAAAATAAAATATACAGGCAAAAGGCTCATTTGTGGGGAAAAAACAACTAGGTTAACTCTCTCTTTTAACCTCTCAAAAAAGATTCACTAATCCAAAGAAAAACAAAAATATAATTCAATGGAAATGACCACATGTACATATTGTAACCGAACATATTGTAGCAAAACAATGAGTGTAACCGATAGCAAAACAATGAGCGAATAATAATTTTAAGGTGATAACCTTGAATTTAAATAATAATAATTATTTTTGCAACAATTCAAGATACATCAAAAGAAAATCCATTAGAACTTTTAAAGATCAATCAGTCAGTGAGCTATTTTTCCAGAATACCAATTAAATGGGTAGAATTTGAAGCTAGTACAATTTCGCAACACTTTGGTCCTACTTTCAGCTTTATACTTTTCTATAAATGGAAAAAATAGATAGGTGTTTCACAATTATTTCAAGAGAGATGAGAGATTAAACAATTTACAACTTTTCTACAGCATATAGCTGACAGTAGCTTTTCCACAACCCATAATTACAATATTTTTTTCACTGCTTATAGCTAAACCAAAGAGACCCTTAGATATGTTGCTATCCACATGGACAATAACTCCTTGTATTATAGGGAACAAAGCTTAGGCGGCAGTCCAAACTCAAACATTTCATGCTTGAATTTCGTGCGCATACCAACTTTATACAACCAACTGATGTTGTTCCAGCTAACCTACTAGGCTTTATAACCTATGCAATATATTTAGGGTGCTTTTTGGTAGGGATCTAGATTTTCGTAGAAACGTATCGGATCCAGATTCTCTTAAGAAATGTTTCTGGTGATGAATCAGAATAATTTCGTGAAACCGTTTGGCTGGTAGGCAAGATTCTGATTCAAAAAATATATTTTTTCATAAAAAATCATATAAATAAAAATATTATTCAAAAAATTTCAGAACTTTTTGTGGGCGAAAAATAACTTAAATACAACCTATTTTAAGTTATTTCACTTAATAACATGTATATGCAAGTTCTCCCTCCATATCCTTATGTGACCACCCAGATCTGGTCGAGACTGCCCCACCACCACCTTCCTAGCACTCGCATGGGCGTACTCTAGCGGTGGCGATGTAAACGATGCAAGGGAGGAGCGGCACCACCGGCGTTGTGGCCTCCAAACCCGTCAATTGTTATTGTGGACTCCTGTTCGTGGGAATGGATACATGTTTCAATTAAATACATATTCAAAATTTTGATTATTAGATTTTAATCTCATAGGAAAAAAAGTCTACTTAACCACCGCAACTATTGGTCGTTGTCTACTTCACCCTCACCTGTGAAACCAGTTAACCCTTTACTTTAAAGTATTGAAAACCGTCTAAATAACCCCCTGAGTCTATTTTAAAAGTGGTATTAAAAAGTCTATATAACCCCTTAACATATCAAGATTTGATTATATAACCCCCTCAACTATAAAACATGATATTATAGCCCTTAAAATATCTAATAATATTCAAATGACCCCTTCATAATCTTGTAGGGTCGTTTAGACACCATATCATGCCACACTAGCCTAAATACACATGCTTTCACATATGACCATTTGTTGCGTCCACGTCCGTACTCTTTCTAGGTTGAACTCCCATCCAAGGAGCAGCTTGCGACATCTTGTATCATGCTCTACTTCCCGCTACTCATCAATGACATTGAGCTCAAGCACCATGCCTGCACCCTCGTCATCCGGTCCCTTCCACATCCTCCACATCTGGTGGTCCTTCAAATTTTTAGGTAGCCATAGCCCATAGGAGGAGAAAACAAGAGGGAGCGAGGATGTGGGAGGGGCTGGATGACAAGGGTGCAGGGGTAGTGCTAGTGCAAGAGCTCAATGCCCTCGAGGAGTGCCATGAGATGGAATGGGAGACAATATGGTGCTCAATGGGCGGTGGTGCAAACCTAGAAAGAGTAGGGAGAGGGAGGAAGCTGATGGGCCTGCGTGCAAGCATGGGTGCTTCAGCCACTATGGCGAGATAGTGTCTAAACGGTCCTACAAGACCATCCGCGGTGCGATTAGAACATTATTAGATGCTTTAAGGATTATTACAGTGTCAGGTTTTATAATTGAGGGGGTTATATAATCAACCCTTGATATGTTAAGGAGTTATGTAAACTTTTAATATGTTGTATCAGCAAAACAACTTCCAAAACCGCCTTAGGTGGTTAAACGGTTTTCAATAGTTTAAAGGCTAGAATATATTATTTTATAGGTGAGTGGATGAAGTAGACAACTACTAATAGGTTGGGGGTGTTAAGTAGACTTTTTCCTAATCTTATTCATTGCTGTAGATTTTTTTATCCTTAGGTGATGCTAAAACTCTTGTGCTTGTTGTATCTTTTATTAAGTCTCCTTTTATATTTATTAAAAATATGGATTTTAGGTCATAGACTGCACTTTTAATTACTGTACTGGCATAACCTTTATATAACTCTTACCATGTCGCTTAAGATTAGTGGTAGAATCTAAGATAGAGTAGAGGTGCTAGCCTCAATCAAGAGGATATTAATATTTAAGACTTATAGTATGTGTTTAGTCAAAAGGAATCTCAAAGACCTTATAGTTATATCCACCTTTGGTTTGTACAAAACTCCCCTGCTTATTAAGATGTTTCAAATTTCTTATCAAGGATTATTTGTGTAATAATATTTCTTTATAGAAAATAGAGATATATAGATATGTTAAATGTTTTAGTTCAAATGTATAAATTTATCTAAAAACACTTTTATAAGTTAGATATCAGGTTATTAATATTTTAATTCTTTTTTCATGATTGCTAAAACATTATACATATACAGCATAACAAGTATGTTTACTTGTTCATTTTCATTAGTTTTTAATATATCAATATTAATAAAGTGTGTAATGTACAAACATATGCACGTGTAATTTATGGTTATTTAAAGATTTTAATAGAAAATGTTGGTATACGAGATTGAGAGGATATTTCAGGTTTTCAATGTTTGTTGACGTGGTAATTCAGATGCTTAGATTATCTATTAGGAGGGCAGGTGGGAAATTATATGCAAATTTAAGGTTACTTTAGATTGTGGTTTATAATGACATATGTAGGGAATTTAAATACAAATTCATAGTTTACTTAGAGCTATTTTCCACGATCATAGAGGTGGATAATTATTTAAAAATAGATAGATTCAATGGTTGAGTCTATCGAATTAATGTATAGATTATTTTGATTATTTGAGAGTTCCTAGGATTAATTGGGACTTGCTTGCGTCCGGACGCTGCGCCCAAGACGAGTGGAGCGAAAGCAAGCGATCAAAGAAGGGCCCAAGGCCACGAACGTCGTCAGACGACCACGGCCACTTCCCATGCGCATTCCATGTGCAACATCTTGTTCTACTTTTGAAACATACAAATGCAACATACAAACCAAGACTGATGAAACACTTAAAACAAGTGTCCGAAACTACATTCACACCTTTCACAGCCGCGTCGTAACCCACATCGCAGTCCAATTTTGGCCTCGGCAGTAAGCTGTCGACAGTGATGGTCATAGCCTTCACCGTCGCCATCTGGGACCGACTGCGGTGTACACTAACACCGCCGATTAGCTTATGATCCGTCCATGATTAGGTCCTTACT